AAGAGGGAACAAAGGGGAGGGAATCTCTCTCTCTCTCTCTCTCTCTCTCTCTCTCTCTCTCACTCCAAACACACAGCATAATGTGCAGGTGTTAACAGACCACCTACACTTGACCTGTCATTCTCACTGGGTGAAAAGAGAGAGAAGGCTTTGGGCGCTGGAAAGAGAGGGAGAAGAGGGGAGAATGAGAGAGAGAACGAGAGAGAGAGAGAGCATTCATTCAGGCCTACTTGGCGGCAGTGATAAGAAACCATGATAAGAAGCATGTTTAGCTAATGATATTACAACAGGAATGCAGTCTCCTTCCCAGTCTTGACACTGTGAATTATTCATTCTAGGGAGAAAGGTTGGGACTGCTGCACAAATAAACTGGCACAACTCATAGTGTAATGCAACAGACACAACAGATTCACGGATAAAGCTTAATAAATGACTTTCCTCCCCTTGCAAGGAAAAAATATAACACAATTAAGAAGATGTTGTATGTGACTCAAAATACTAGCCTACCTTTACAATAGGTGTGGGTTCATAGACAGTACTTGCCAGAGTCTACAAATGTCACTGTTAGACCCACACTTGTAAACTATCCTAGAATTATTAAAGTGAATAATAAATGAGTAAATAAACTCAAAATCAAATCTTGTGGTGAACAGGAGTAGATGGATACTCTTCCCAATGTAGAAAAAAATTCTGTAAAAGAATATATGTTTGGTTATGGTTTTATTCCATCATAAACAACCTACACATGATATACACATATTTCCTGGGATGGCAGATGATTTCTCCAATTACCCCTTAAAAGATTCTCAATTTCAGTTTTACATAAACATTTATAATGAAACTGAAGTGGCTTTTAATTCCATCACACATATTGCTACAGGAGGATCTATTTATACAATTAAATCCTATAGCATTTACCTCTGGGGTGCAGGTGCAAGACAGACTCAACTTAAATGCCCCTCTGACAAGAACACAACAATTTGCTCTAGAGAGGGTTCAGTTGAAAAAAATTGTAGTTATAGTGAAAATAAATACAATAAAAAATCAGTTTTTCCACTATGAAAACACATATTGTAGCACACACACAGAAACACCCATGTGCCTTAACTAAATTAACCTTAAATATCTGCACATCAGGAACTATTTGTGAACAGTGTCAGGCAGCTCTTTGTATAAGTCATGTGCACCATCTGAAAAATCTCAGCTACATGTACAGTCATGCATCACTCTGGAGACATCATGAAGGCATGAGCAGATGCCTGCAGTTGGGTATCTGTGGGTAGTTTTATTTGGCGGAGGTTCATGCATTCTCCGCAGTTTATGACAGGTTACATAAAACAACACACATTATGCAGCACTATAATACAACCTAAGTCATGCAGAATTGTGTTTAGGCTATGCTGACCACAACTGAAGCGTAATGCATGATGTTGTCTTACGGCTGATGATAAATGTAGACTTGAAAATGGTCCTCTGGTCAGGACTGAGGCCAAGGAGGGGACACACACAAACACACGCGCATGCAACACACACACACACACACACACACACACACATACACACACACATACACAAAAGCACATGTACACACATTCATATCCACGGCAGAAGGATTATCTTATCTGTCAGGCACCGCAAGGATCTCTTTGTGGATAAACAGGAAGAGAACTTGAACACCCGGCCCTGCTCCACTTTCTCCACTGCTTCTCAGCTCTCCATGATACCTGGTATGTGTCGATTTCTACAGGCCAAGATAGAAACAATAAAGGTTTTGAAAGCTCAGAAACACAAAATTGGCTCAGAACATATCCCTCAAACTCAACTTTCACTATTCTGTTATCATATGGTTAAACACTCAAGCTTGGCAGGAATAGAAGAGAAGGTGATGTGCATTATAGGACAGACCCACAGTGGAATAATGAATGCTGTCCAGTATGATACATTAGTTATTCTCATTTGCTTCCATATGGAAATATGTTATGCGTGCCTTTCATTTTAGGTCTCGACTCCACATTTACAGATGCATCTTTGGAGCCAAAAGCCTTTAAAAGGGAACCGCAAAATGTTATCAGGCTAATAGTCCTTGAAAATTGTCTTGCAGCTCCTTTTAAACTTTCTTTCTTGTCAAGTGTTTCCAGAAGCTATAAAGCTATTATGCCTCCATGGTTGGTCGCTAGCATGAGAGCTGCTAAACTTTCCCAATGACATCATCCCGGAGTCCATAGGTTTGAGAGGGCCGGATGAATGTATGACAGCATTCCCGAGTGAATTCCACAACTCTCATGTGATCCCAGGAGGCTGAGCAGGAACTCTGGAGCTGTTTGGAGAGGGATTCCAGACGGTGTTAGGAGACCCTGCCATGAGAGACGCATTTTCATTCAGACTAATCCTGCATCTTACTCATTTTAATAGGTTTTTAATAGCCATAACTTTTCTTTTGAACTCATTTAAACTTTCAAGTCTGCTGTGCAAATCCTGTGAAACACTATCTGAACATCAACATCAACACTCTAAATTAAAACCACTACAAATGGAACCTGACAGCTCTTTTAATCTGAGGGGAATCCTTTGTATCTTTATTGATGCAGGTCTTTGTGGGTGAAATTATTCCATCCACATGCTTTTAATACTATCTTAATGACACATAATTGGATGCCATTGAAACAGTTTGCAGCTTAAGGGTAAGCAAGGAGCATTTTTATCTGTTTGCAGTGGTCTGGTGCAATTCCTCTACACGTTTTGTCAAGTCTATTTCTTTACTCACCCCCCATTCTTTCAGAGGTAGGATGGTCATATATACAATGCAATTAGGTTATTATTATTATTTTTTTTTTTTACAGCTGTTTCAATCCCCTAGTCATCAGTCTAGGAGAGAACACTAACTAATCTCTGTGTAATGGATGTGACCTGGTCGATTCTGGTCACTGACATCATTTAACACCAGGGATATAGCAGCGGTAAACAAACCTTGACTCTGTTTACTCACCAGTGTATTTGCAGAAGAGTGTTTAACCACCTTTTAAGGCTGACATAAATGGCTTTTCCAAGAATAGTTCTGCATTTTTATTAAACACAAGCATTCCATGCAACCACACCATGTGACAACTGCCATTTTTTCTTATTAAAGACTGGAAACTGCAGCATGTGTTTGGCTGTAATGAACTCTAGTGATGCCTACCTGTGATTTATGTGGCAAAATGTCCCCACTGGACTGGTAACTATAACTTGTGGTGCGGATGGGGATAGGTTGATGTGTTGAATTTAGGGAGAGAATTCACTTGTGACCTTGTGACTTGTGTTGCCCAGCAGGGGCAAAAATAGTTTTGGAGAGCTGTGTGTCAATGTTTGCACCACTTTGGGAGGTCAGTGTTTGCAAAATAACAAAAATCTTGGCTGGCAAACGCAGGCACAGGAGCACAAATGCAGTTTTATTACTTTAGGACTTTATTTACATCTGGAAGAGCATGCCTGAGTCGTCGTCTTCTCCTTTGAAACCCGGGAAGCCGACAGGGATACAGAGGAGAGGGTGAGCGAGAGAGAGGGAAAGAGAGAGAGGACCAATACAAACAACAAAGGAATGCTCTCCATCAGCCGATGCTGCTGCTCTCTGCTCTCCCACTTGCCTGGCGTGGTATGTGTAATTACTCCACAATTAAAGTGCCTGCGCTTGTGACTATGTGTGTGTGTGTGTGTGCCTCACGGTGCTTGGTGACCACACTCGACCATGTCAACAATGTGGCCTGGACAGAACAGGCAATTTCACACAAGTTAGTCAGGGAGTAAAAAAAAGAAAGGCATAGTTGATATGAAACAAAAACATTATTACTTCCTGGAGGAAAAAAACAGCTGTTCAGATAACTCTCTTTCATTTTCATTCCAGTTGAACTTTCTTTCCTCTCTGCTCTCTAACTACCTCTGCTGTGTAAATCACTTATTCTGCTGTCTATCTCTCCTCCTCTCCTTCCCTTCTCTGACCACAGGAATGCTGGGCGACTGTCACTGCACTACTGTCTAAGTCATGCATAGTAATCACTGGGCCCACAAGGCACATACACACACACATACAAACACAGTGAGGCACACTGATGCAGACACACACACATACATACAAACATTTCAGACTATATTGCTATGTCTACATGTGATATGGTCTGTTTTATTCAGTGAAACCTGTCATATGCTGGACATGGTCATTTACTGTGAATGCTCTTCTGTGCATTTCCCCACATACTTTCAACTAGTTTCTATTTCTGCATATTTAGCTAAATAATGGAAGTAAAAGACTTAGATTTCTGAGCAAAATTACTGTAAACATAAACATTTATAGCAGTGTATATGTATGGGTGCACATGTTTTATGGGAATTGTGGCACAACTTCCACACATATTTGGCTTCCCCTCTGCAATTCTCCCTTAAAGGTGCCTCTGTTTGCACCTCTAATTAAACCACACAGACCAATTAGTGCTGAGACAGTGTTGGCATAGTGGGACCTCTTTCACAAGGCATGACTTTGCTTAACATAGAAACAAAAATACTGCAGTCTCTATTTTCCCCTTATGCTCACTTAATTATAGGAAAAACACCAATGCATTGCTAAAAACTCAACTTTAGCTCACTGGCTAAGTGTTTACAGTGTGTTTGAAATGCATTGTAAACAAATTCCATTGGCATCATTCTGAGCATTTTCTTTCAAACTTTGCAATTATTTAACAAAATGTTGCATGTATTAGTAGTCTGTGATCCAAGCGTTTGTCCCAATTGCTTTTCATTCCAGTAATGGATATGTAAGTTCTGATTAAGTCAATACCTTAAATAACTATACATACAGTATTTCAAAAAAGCAAAAGGAAAAAAAAAGTGCAATGTGTGATCCTGGCTTTCACCATAATTAAAAAATGTATCTGTGATGCGATCAGAACATTTGAAAAACAAAAAGAAAAGACAACTTTTTGAATATTTACGATGCTTGAAACCGTATACATTTAATCCCTGAGTTATGTGACCATTGTCCATGTGACAGGTAGCCGGGAGTCTGTTTCTGTAGCAACGTGATATATTCCAATTTTCCCTCAAAAGGGAATGTAGGAAAGGCAGCCAGATGAAAATGAAGACAGAGCTGTGGTATGACTGATTTGGTCGATCCGATGACGATGGTAAAAAATGCCTCAGGCATGCCCTCTGTTCTGAGCTCCAGCTTCCTTCCCTCTTTTGGACTTGTGCATGATACTGTGGCTGAGAGTCGACTGCAACCAAAACTGTGACGTTCAAAATTCCAAAAGTTAGCTGATGAGTTCTTCTAAGGGAAGGTTTAACGGTTTTATGTCATTCAAGCATCTAGAGGGTATCTGGCATACAGTATCCTTGTGTATCTTTCTGCTGAAGTGTCCTTAAACAAGACAATGAAACCTTGTCAGCTAAAGAAAGCTATGTGGTAGCTGATGACAAAGCTTTTGTATTGCTTATGTAAAATAATATATTATTAATTATTAAAATTAACTAAACCAGTTCCCAGAATTTCAGCGTTCAGTAAGAGCTATTATCCAACCTTTAACCTCCATCCTCCACCACAGTGTGGGTCAGCACACGCTTGTCTTGTTGGTGTGTCATCTTGGTTTGCAATCCTGTTCAGACAACAGCAGGTTGTTGAGTTTGATGACAATGTTGGCAAAGTCAGTGAGCTCCACAAAGTCAGAGGTGATGATGTTGACCCCGTCCACCCCGGGCCTTTGAGCCTCAACCCAGGACATGATGGTTGGTAGGTTTCTAGAGCCACAAGAGAAGAAAGACTGTATTAGAAGGCAAACAATTACACCAATTTCTGTCACTTGAATTTCAATTGAGACTGATTACCTGACCTTGCAAACATACTCAAAACATCTAGTGCCAAGTTTCTGTCTCTGTAAAGTTTATAGTTATGGCTATCACATTGCCAAACTCTAATTTGTTGTTTCTTGGCTGAACGTCTATCTGCCAACCAAATTTCATGAAATGCTGTTGATAAGGTTTAGAGATACAGTATCTGGATGGGCCAGGAGAAAAAGGACCTGATGGAAAAAAGTTACAGGGAGTGATGTTTGTGTCTGTCTGTCAGTGAGAGATTACTTTGCCACTATTGTCTCGAAATCATTGCTTTGCGTTCACACACATTCTGTTTTGGTTCTTGGCACAAACACACTCACTCACACACACACACACACAAACACACACACACACACACACCATGACTCTGTAGCTGTATCACTTCTAACACCCTTAAATTCTCCACTAGGTTTGAGCCGACAGCAGAACAAAACCAGGAAATCTGTTGTTTATCCAGCGGTGATAAACAATCCCATTTCCTCGGAAGTGCAAAATTAGGCCACCTCCTGTCTCGCCAGAGCGTCCGTCAGGAGTTTTATACACCAGCATCAGTGGCTGTTTCTCTCACATGTAAGGGCATGGTGGGTATGCATTCTAAGTCAGGATTTCCACTGTCATTTCCACTTAGATCTTGGGCTCAGTGAGCTAGATGACTGCTAAAGTTTGAGCAAATAATTTAGTCCTTGCTGGGGAAGTAAGATCTCTTATCTGAGAGAAGAAATATGTTCCTCTATAGTTTGGATATGGATCAAGAAGATTAAAGCTAATCCTCAGTGAAATGAACCAGTGAAGTGAATATTGTAACAGAGAAGCCAAACATCAAGAAGCATGCTTAGAGTTTTTTTCTTCTATAGATGTAATCAATCTCTTATGTTCTAAGGAAATAGAAAACACTCATCCACTCTGATTTTGCAACCACACCACATTCTCATAGAGGATGGGGGAATACGCTCTAGGAAGCACAAGTTTGGTTATTGATTTGTGGCCTTTTTTGCCAGATTATTGCACCATATGTAGTTAAAAGGGGAGCAATGGACAGATAAGCCCTCTTTTACTGAGTAACCGACCAGTCTGACGTGTATAGAAGTGTCTGAGGTAATGCTGTAGCAGTCTGGTGTTATCGGATTTAATCAACGTAAACACGATGAGCGGTCATGCATAATGGCACTGTGCTCTGGCATTGCACTTTTTAGATCAAAGGCTTCTGATTTCTCAACATATCTGTCAAGCTGCCTGCAAATGGTTGCATGGATTTAATGAACTAGACGAGGGATTTTTATACAGTATAAAGCAGCTATGGACAACAGACAGAATCACTCCTATTAATTTGTAATATGAGAACTGACTATCTTAAATGCAGACTCATGCAGATCATTTAAATTGTTTAATTATATTTTTTATTTTAAGCATTATGCTGTTATAACTGTGTATTCTGTGCTGACACAAAGACAGGGCTCTAAGTCGTCCTTTTTCCGTTTTCCTTTTTCATGTACAGTACAAAGCTGGCAAACCTCTTGAAGAAATTTGCAGCATTTACTGTACTGCCCTCTACTGGCCACAGATTAAAGTAAATCAATGGAGTTAAGCCTTAAACAAGAGAACAAGGTTCAAAGATGCATGAGAACAGACATGCTCACACACCTGGATTGGATTCCTAAATCTTACATTTAAACTGATGAAACTAAACTTCCGAACAAGGTGACACACTAACTAATGTATATCCACACATCCACAATATTCCACCACACAATCCACAGTCACAACCTCCTTAAACCCCCCAAACTTAGTCACTGACCTCTCCACCAGGTAGTTACGTAGCCCCCAGACCAGGCCCTTGGCCACAGTGTTAACCCTGGGTGTGAGGATGGCCTGAGACACGTGGAAGGAGCCCTGCTTGGCTCTTTCCCTCAGTGTTGTTTCCAGGAACTAGACAGGACAGTGTCAAACAAACAGACACAAACAGTCTAATCTAAATCACCCCTTAATGTGAGTCTTCTGGAGACATTTGTGTAATTCGATGAGAATGTGGAGTAGGCGTGTTGAGTTTTGTACAGAAAGAGGAAGATGAACAGGAAAATAGTGAAAGGAAGGAGAGGATGCAGGGAGATGGTTTTTTCGTTGATTGATGGTAATAGACCTGACATAAAGAGGGCTAGTGATACTAGATTTGCTGTAAGAGACTGAAACGTAGAGCTGAAGAAAAGGGTTAAATGTACGATTAAACAAACGATTAAAAGTATCAGAATTATTTTTTGTCTTCAATCCTTAATCTTGCTGTAATAATGAATTGCAGATATCTGTATTGATTTTCCAGTGAATGAGATAACAGCAGAATGTATGGGGAGCTTCATGCTGGTGAGTTGTTATCACAGCAAGGGTTTGGATGTTGTTTTCTAACCTGTATAAGCTTGTTGGGTTCAGTGGTGTTTGCCCAGGGAGCAGGGATCTTGTTGCCAGGCCACATGACAGGGATACTCTGAGCTGTTGGATGATGGTAGAACACAATCACCTGAGGAAAACATAAAATAACAGACAGTTAGAAGATATGTTTGAAAGACTGCACGGCTGGGGGTGACCAGTAAATGACGTGAATGTGTTACCTCATATACAGTAACATCAGGTGACACTCAGCCTATGATGATACCTAAATAATTATCAGGTAATAGAAATGATTTGAATTAGTCTTCATCTTCTGCATAATACTATATAGCCCTCACATGACCATATTTTCAACTTTAACCCCAAACTTACAGTAACATTCTGCCTACTTATTATACAAAGTATTGTATAATTGGAAACAGACTATTTAGCTGCACATTGTATGCACTTGATATAAAACTCACCTACATCAATGCTCAATATCCCAATAAAGTAGGTGAGACCATTTTGTTTAAAATCATAAAAACACATTTTGGCTAGTCCACTGTTTACCACAGTGATTTAGCAGTGAAACAACGAGAAAACTCTCTCTCTCTCTCTCTCCTTCTCCTCCTTCTCCTTTGCCAACTAAGCCAGCCACAGATTAGGGTCAGGACCAGGAATTCAACTGATAGTATTTGAACGGGGCACAGACACGCACCTAGAATCACGCAGACATAACATTAAGATGCGTTGTGTACATGGTGCTTCTCGTGTCCACGTACGTATGTTTATATATAAAAGGAGGAGGATGGAAAAAAGAACGAAATTAATACGGTGTGAGATGACAAAATACAGGAATGATCCGAAATGTAAAAGAAGCACAGGCAGGAGGATTTAGCAAGGAGAAAGAAGTGTAGGAAAGCCAAAAAAGACAAAAAGGAATAAAATGAAAGTGTGAAGAGGATAGGATAAAAGCTAAATACCATGAAAGTAGGAAAGTGGGTTGGATGGTGGAACGAGTGTTAATGGGATGACGCTCACAACTAATTCCTGAGTCACAGGCGGCAGGGATTACCTGACCACCGGGGTTAAGTGGGCTGTCCAATAAACACACACCTGCATACAGCCTTTACTTAGCCTTTACCTAGATGCTAACCATCTCCAACAAAGTCAGATGGAAAGAAATAAAAACAGCTTTCTAAGGTGTGATTAATAAGCTGGAGTTTCACCTGGTATTTCTTCTCCCATAGGAAGTCCAGAGTGATGACCTCCACTGCAGAGTTGTTACAAAGCTTGCTGCCGAACACTTCCTGGAGCATGGTGATGAGGTACACATGATGCTCTGCGTCCATTGCATAGTAGTGGTTGAAGTCTAAAAACACTACCTAAATCAATGTGACACAAAAATCAGTCAGTTAGTAGGCCACATCCATCTATCTATCTATCTATCTATCTATGGTCATGCTGATGTATCTGTGCTTTAAAGAAATCATAGAAAATATATTAAAAGTACTTCTCACCTCTTTCCTGTGTCTGCTTAAGAAGGAGTTAATTTCTAACAAGCCATCCTTCACCTTTGGTAGAGAACAGAGTGAAAGGTTGGTAGTCATTTGCTGTATGAAACCTAAATGTCTATTGGTCATGTACGGATGCATACAGGCCACTGTTTCCAGTTATGGTCACAATTTCAGAGCTCCAAATGCCTCAGTGAGTATTTGAACACAAAACACCATCACACTGCACCATGAAATAAAAGCTAATGGAAACAAGTCAAATATCAGTTGTACATGCCTAATAACTCATAATAATGAACTCTTACAGGGAATTGAGTTGTTGTTCCCTGTTCTATCATTTTACAGATACAAGTCCATCTCATGACACACTGCAAAACACTATGACATGTAGAGAACAGGCACATGTCAGTTTGACCCACTTGACCCAAGAGGGATGTTTACAACTAAACTCACAACCTTTGATCCCTGTTCACGGCCACCTCAAACCTACTACTAACAACATCAGCTGGAAACTAGAACATAATGTTGGAAGAACAAAATCACTGTTCTTGCTGTTATATGAGACAAACTATGGGGAGAAACTTCTGAACAAGCTAAAATATATGTATATAAAATATAATCATCAGGACTGGAGAATATCTGATTGAGAAAGACAAAAACATTCAGCACTAAAGTATAATACTGACATACCAGAAAATAGAGGCATGCACAGTAGCCACAATAATACGCATTTAAATGTCAGTAAATATTGAACCCACTGCTCACCTTGTGGCCAAACAGGCCGTGGATGAAGTAGATCTCATTTCCAGGCTCGCCTGGTTTTGAGGAGACCCTGAGATCAAAGTAGCGAATTCCTGCCTCCAGCTGCTCTTTAAATGTCAGATTCTAGGAATACAGATATTATATATCACATTATTCATTACATCTGGATACAAAACCCACCACAACTTTCTAAATCTGCCCAACATATGTCTTTTTATATGTCATCTGCAAGATGCAAAGCTCCCCACATGATGGGTTTGTACATGTCATTGATCCGAACTCAATACCTGGGTCATGGACCACTTCACCATGACTTTCTTGGCTAAGACACTGAACATAGTGGCCAGGTACTTGACATATGCCTTCTGATCGGGCCCCACAGGAGCATGCACATCCACCCAGTAGGTAAAAGAATCATGAGACCCTGGAAGAGAGATGGTGATGATAAATGAAAAGAAAATTTAACAAATAGATACAAATAGGATAATAAGGATGGAAGACCGAAGGGCCAGTGGGAAAAGACACACAAAAGGCTGTTAAGGTAAGGCAGGAGTAAAGGGACAATAAAAGGATGACCCTAAAGCTGTAAGAGTAGTAAAGGTGGTATTATTTTTAGCATGGCATCAAATATGACTGTATTACTACATTCCTCTCAGACTTGCAGCTTTGTTGTTATCCTTTCAAAGTTCCCAAAATACCCTAAATCTAGGTGTGATGGGCAGATGAATAGGCAGAGGAGAGCCCAAACATCTTTACGCACACAGGCTCACCTGGCACGGCGAGGTGTTTGAGAGGCATGGCACTGAGCTTGGAGGGGAGCGAACCCATCCAGTCGGCATTGACATTGCCGATCCCCGCAGGTCGGGTCTTCATGTCAGAAACGGCCTGTCAACAAAACCCCCCTCAGGAAATCGCTCTCCGGTGCAGACGCAATCCCGGTGACGGATTCCCGTGCGCTCCCAATAGATAAAAACGACTATAGATCATCTTGTAATGTCGTTTTTTAAACGCCCTCCGACCCCCACACTCGATCTGAGTGTGACCGGTTTCCTCGCCCGGTTCCCGGTAGGCTACTGGATGGCGTCGCGGTGCGCTGTGTTCCAACCGGCGAAGCGGGCATCCATTGACAAGACCAGCGGGTGACTAACGACCGTGATAATCCTCTTAGAGCAAAACTACTTGTTATCTCCCCTTCTCCTGCTTCTTGGCTTAACCTGCCTCCTGTGTGCGTGAGAAGACCACCCACTGGACACACGCAGACACTGAGACACGCACACAGAAACGTGGCATATTGTTGTCTTATTGGTTCAGTGACAGCACAAACCTTGACCTGTGGGCTGTGAGGATGAATGCCCATTAATCAGCTCATATGAATCATCTTATCCATGACCGCCCGCCGGGGTGATGGGGATGACATCAGAACCTGTACAGGTGTTGATGCTTTGGTCTAAAAAAGAAGAAGAAGATATACTTTATTGATCCCCTAGGGGAAATTGTTTTTTTCTCTCTTTTTTTATACACACAATGCAATGAAATGCACACTTCATGCACAT